CCAGCTTCGATGGGCAACATGGTTGGTTTCATGTTTTTGCTATTGTGAATAGAGCCGCAGCAAACATATGTGTGCAGGTATCTTTTTCGTAGAATAATTTGAGTTCCTCTGGGTATATTCCCAATAGGAAAATTGCTGGGTCATATGGAAGGTCGATTTCTAGTTCTTTCAGAAATCATCACACTGTCTTCCAAAGAGGTTGCACTAGTTTGCATTCCCACCAGCAGTGTAGACGCGTTCCTTTTTCTCCACATCCTCGCCAGCATCTGTTGTTGTTTGTTTTATTAATGATGGCCATTGAACAATTATATTGCTATAAGAAAGCGATTGGCAGTAGTGGAAAACTGTCAGGGGATGGGGGGTGGGACTGGCAGTTGAGGGAACCTGCTAGGGGAGGGAGGGGCATACCTCATCAACGAGGGTACCTGCATGATCAATGTTTATATACCTAACCAGAATTGTACCCTACATCTTTATAATAAATAAATAAAAAAAATAAGAAAAAAAAGAGTCATCAAGGAACAGTTGGCATTTCTTCAGACCCCCAGTGTTGCCAACGAAGCCTGGCTCCTTATTGTGTTGAGACTTTCTCTGTGGGAGTGAACATTAGAGACCTTCCAATGTTTGCGGACTCACCCCCAGCAGATAATGTAGGTCTCAGACAACAGCAGTGATTTCTCCTCCGTCACTCGGGAGTGTCCTAGAGCTCGACTAGTTATTTAGGCACGTTTGCAGATAGTTATCTTTTTTTTTTTTTGCGTTGGAGTCTCACTCCATTGCCCAGACTAGAGTGCAGTGGCCGCTCCCGGCCACCGCAGCCTTAACCTGCTGGGCTCTGGCGATCCTTCCGCTTCAGCCTTCCAAGTAGCTGGAACTCCAGGCGCGAGCTACCACGCCCAGCTAATTTTTGATTTATTGTAAAGATGAGGTCTTGCCAAGTTGCCTGGGTGGGTCTCGAACCGAGGGCTTAGGCAATTCATTCACCTCGGCCTCCCAAAGAGCTGGGATTACAGGCTGAGCCACCGAGCCCGGCTGTAGATAGTTATCTTTATGGTGTGAATTATCCAAAAGAAGAGGCGATCTGAAACCTATCCCTGAGATTAGCTAAATTGATCAGTGACACTACCTTGATCCTGGAGGGCCTTCGGATGAGCCTTACCTTATTGGCCAGGGTTATTTTGGTTGACGGACTTGCCTAAGCCTTTTGTCTTGTGGGCCAGTCTGTGCAGCCACTTGTAGGTCCTGCTATGTATGAATCAGCATCTTGGGTTAAGTTGGAAGGTCAATACAGAAAAGTAAGGACGAAGCCACCTGGCTCTCTAAGGTAAACTGGGTAGCTTACAGGATTTGTTCAGCTGACTGAATCTGGAATCTCTGAGGGGGCACAGATGAAGTCAGTATTGCAGGTTGGCCTCATCCTGCTACTTGAAGTCCTCTTGATAGGACTAATTAGATGGTGTATGAAACAAATGGAATGGATTTGGTTTCAGCCTCACCTCGTTTGATTAATTGGAGTGGTCAACAGTGCAGCACTCATGGGTGAGTCCTTCGGAAGACAAGATGGTGTAAAAATGAGGGATGGATAACGTTCTGAGGTCTCTTGCATTTCTTCACGTCCCATGAGTGAGTCACTCACTGATCTTTATTCTAGACTATCTTTCCAAGGATGCTTGTGAAGAAATCAGTCTTAGAAGATATAATGTCTCCTTCCAAACAAAGGACAGGTTTGTTTATGGTCTGGAAAAATAGAGAAGATAGCATCTCCCTCTAGAGCAAAAGGCAGGCATGCTGAAATCTATTATAAAAGATTTGGTTTCCCTAAGTTCAGAGTTCTTCTGTAATGCAACCTATTGGGTGTACAGTGGTCACCTAGACTTCTCCATGCCATCCTCTGGGAATTGGGGCTTGGGGACCTGGTGCAAAAATGCTGATATTCTGGCTACTATTTCTGTGAGTACTAAATGATCTTTCATCTTGGACCCAGGACGCTCACATTTCCCAAAACCATCCATAAAACGGTGCCAAGCTAACTTATTAGCTTGCAAGAAGGACAAGCTCTCAGACCCTGTTCAGTTCTTGACACACTTTAAGCAGCCACTCCTCGTCGGTTGGAGTTGGTACATGAGATGAAACCCAGGGGGCCACGGGCACTGATAGGTCAGAAAAAGCCCGGACTAGCAGGTCAATGATAGTGAGTTGGGGGTGGGAAGCCGAAGAACCTGGGGGCATGGCCATGCCAGTGGGCCTGGGAAAGATCACTTTGTCTCTGGGCGAGCCCCAGAAAGTTTTTCCCTTAACGTGAAATGGGATTTAGACTGGACTTCTTCCTGCTTTATTTAATGAGAGTAGTTTTGTTTGACCTGTCTTCAGTCTTGTTAGGGATAGGCCAGACTGCCCTGAGGGGGTTTGGAAAAAGTTGTCATCACCTTCTAGTCTGTTTTTGTGTCCTTTTCTCTTTCCCATGCACCCCTTTTCCCCATTGAAAACTTGTTTGCACGGAAGGACACGTTAGTGGTCAATGACACTCTAGTGCTGATGCAAATTACTGGAGTGTTCAAGAACAGTCTTTGAACCATCATTGTATTTTTGGAAGGACTGGTTCTCCTACATAGAAGGCATTCATAGCACCTTAGAGCAGGTGGAGATATTTGGAAGGATTTCCTGGTGTCCTTCCCTTATGCTGTGTAGGTAGCAACAAAGCTTTGTCTACCTGATGGGCAGAGATGCTAATGTTGGCTCCCTGGTGCCTCTTCCCTCTTGAGAACAATCCTTAGTCTCCTAAAATAAAGTCTCACCCACGCAAAACTGTGAAGAAAACACAGCTAGTTATATGTCACCTTTTAGGATCTTTTGTAAATCTTCACCAGCTGGAATACCCCAGATCTTAATTTTCATGCTAAGGGGCTCTTTTCAGAAGCTTGTAGAGCATCTGAAGGAAGAGAGAATTTTTCAGCAATTTTCATCCTAATTAACTTGGCCCATTTTTTAAGGAATGGAAATGATTATCTCAGAGATTAATTAAGATTGTTAAAGGCGTTTGCAGATCAGAACCTAAATGCTTCCATAAATTCCTCTCCCCTGGTTTAGAATGAACTTGCCATGAACAAAAGGTCAGAGGTTATTAAAATGAATGAGGTCATCGCCTTTTACATGCCGACGGCGTCCTTTCACTTGGCAGTGGGAGGCAGAAAAGGGAAGAAATCTGCATTGCCTTCATATTTAGATCATATAATGCATTCCCTAATGTGATATGAAATATCATCCTAATGAATTAGTCTTAAACACGATGCTTATCAGAGTAATGAACAGAGTGCCTGGAAGTCCAGGACCGCTCCGGCCAGTGACATCAGAAACCATCTAGGGAAAGTAGTTATCATCCACTGCCTCATTTCAAAGGATTTAATGGCCCTGAAAGTCGTGAGGAAAAGTGAGTTCACACCTTTTAGGTACGCCTCTGAAGCCACTGTATTTTTATTTTCAATTAGAGAGAAGACATATTGCCCACTGGTCCTGAAAAGCGATCAAACCCTTGGGCTTGAAGCGATGGATCCTAGAACAACCCAAGAACTGGCTCTTTCTAGCTGGATGAAACCCTCAGATCATACAAAACCCGGGATAGTGACTTGTGAGGATTTACTTCCCACTCTTGTCTTCTGTCCTGGAATAAATATTTCAGAAAGAGCTTTGTTCCTGTACAGTGAGCGCACAGAAGAGCCATGCTCCAGTGGAGAGGGTTGCTTCTCCCTGGCTTTCCTGATGTTCTTGTGTGTGATGTCACACCCCTTGCTTACTGGCAGAACTGATTTTGTTCAGGTATCCAGCTGTCAGGTGCTGGGCCCCTCCTTGGTCCCAGGAGATAATATCTATTCGTACAAATTAACCACGTGAATTGTATATTCTCCTTGTCAGTAATTACTTTAGGAATAAACACAAGAAGGAATTCTGGCAAATGAGATAAAAGTGAAGTTTGCGTGTTGGGGAGTATGTTTTTGTGAATGCTTTCTTACTCTTAAAAAGGGACGCAGAAAGTGACATTCTCTCTGGGACTCTTGAGTGTTGTTATGTGAAGATGAGATGCTTGGAGCTGCTGCAGACTCCTTGCCTCCATGAGAGAAAGGAGAAAGGGCTATGTGCTGATGATGGCAGAGATGACATATCGATGGAAAGAGCTTGGGTCTTGGATGATATGATTGAGCCACTGAATTAAGCTGAGTGTACCCCAGGTCCAACCTTCATGTTATGTGTGATGAGAGCTTTCTTGAGCTGTGTCCTTTTTTTTTTTTTTGAGTTGGAATCTCACTCTGTCACCCAGACTGGAGTGTAGTGGCACGCTCCCGGCCACTGCAGCCTCGACCTGCTGGGCTCTGGTGATCCTTCTGCCTCAGCCTTCCAAGTAGCTGGAACTATCGGCATGCGCTACCACGCCTGGCTAGTTTTTGATTTATTGTAGAGATGAGGTCTCACCAAGTTGCCCGGGCAGGTCTCAAACCCGCGAGCTCAGGCAATCCACTCATCTCAGCCTCCAAAGCACTGGGATTACAGGCTGAGCCACTGAGCCCAGCCTGAGCTGTTTTTTATTTCCTGTGGCTGGGAGGATGCCAAACTGACATATATAGTCACCTTCCTTGCCTTCCCTTTCCTCCTCTCCTCATCTTGCCCTTCCTTAAGAAATCTTTTTTCCTAGTAGATGGTTGGCACTCGCAAGCTCAAGCATCCACCAGGATCCCACAATGGTGGGCTTTCTCTGTGGACAGGCACAGAACAGAATTTCTGCATACCTTCTTTGAAACCTCCTAGATGGCTCAGAAAGGAACGTGATCGATTGATTGAGTTGGGGTCTCACTCTGTTGCCGAGTCTGGAGTGCAGTGACATTATCACAGCTCACCACCATCTTGACCTCCTGGGTTCAGGTGATCCTTCTGCTTCAGACTCCCGAGTAGCTGGGATGACAGGTGCATGTCACCATGCCCAGCTAATTTTTCTTCTTCTTCTTCTTCTTTTTTTTGTTCACAAATAGGACTTTTTATTTGTCACTCTTAAAAGACTGAATGTTAAACAGATTCCCGAACTGGTGGTTCATGTCCATCAGCTTGTTCAACCTTAGTACCTGTCTCGTCCCCAGTAGCTTTTCCAGAACTACTACCTTCACCATGTAGCTCCATGAGCTTTTCTGATTCAAACCTGGGTTTCTTCAGCATTCTTACTTTTCTAACAAAGACATCATGAAGATGTCTTGGTCCTTGGCATGCCTTGGAAATGTCATGAATGTCCTGCTCCACCCTAAAGGAAGACTGGATCTGGCATTTATCAGTTTGCCACTTTAAAGGAAGATAAATAGATTGACAGGCCTTTTTCTATGTCTTTCTATGTCTTTTCTGATGCTGTCCGGAACCAATTTATCGACCACTTCTTTTAAGTCATTTCTCTGCAGCTCTTGGGTCATGATTTCAAATATCATCTTCTTCCAGATCTGGTGGACCTGTTGGTGCTGAGTGTAAGAGGTCTTCTGTATCTGATTGTTGCATTTTTTAGTAAAACCAGGACAGATGAAGCAAATAACCATCGGTAGTCTTGATATCAACATGAGCTTCGGTCATGGTCTGCCATTTTTTGACCATGGAGCACATTTTGTCCCTGTTCAGGTCCATGACATGGAAGTTTTTGCCCTGAGCATCTTCAGTGATCCACTTGAATTTTCTAAGTGCAACTTCATCATTCTGCAGACTGGCATTCAAACACATGACACTTGAGGCCACCGGATGCAATTTTGGTTTCTTGCATCCTGGTGACCGGCGTTTTGCCAACATTTCTTATACTGAACATAGCAGCTGCTTTCACATCATACCAATCTTTCTTAGAAAATGGATCAGTCACTTTCTTCTTGGCTCCCTTTTTGCCACCCTTTCGTAAGGAGCTTGTTCTCGCCTACCGCCGTGGTGACGCTCAGAAAGTCTGAATTTTTTTTTTCTAGAGACATGATGGTCTCACTATGTTGCCCAGACTGGTCTTGAACTCCTGGCCTCGAGCAATCCTCCTGCGTCAACCTCTCAAAGTGCTGGGATTATAGGTGCAAGCCACCATACCCGGTCAGGAACACCTTTAAAGTGGCAAACTGATAAATGCCAGGTCCAGTCTTCCTTTAGGGTGGAGTAAGACATTCAGGACATTTCCGAGGCATGCCAAGGACCTAGGCTCTTTGGCAGGGCACTCCATGGTGGCCCATTTTCACCAGCTTTCCCATTTGGCCCTCTGGGTGGGAGCACAGTGTCTCACATTGCAGGATTCCTCTTTCGGCTGACACAGTTTGCCCGAGAGAGGGGACTTAGGTCACTGTATGTATATGGGTAGACTTCAAGACATTTTATTTCCTGGAACCTTTTACTTTTTCCTCCTCAAACTGGAAAAACAGGAAGATAAATCCCCCATGTATTTCTGAGTTTCTTTTCTTTCCTTGTCCTCACATCTCTAAATATATCAAACATGATAATTTTATGAGCAACCACGTTATACATAATACATTTTATGTTCTTAAATGTATCAAGTGATTTTAGATCTGCAAAGATGCCATAAAGCAAGAACAGACAGTGCCCAATTTGTAAATTAATTTGGAAGTATAACTTTCTTAAAAAGTGGGCTTCTTGCACTCAGAATGCTTTTTCTTACAGAAACAATGGTGGTCGACTTCCAAGTATGAACTGTAGCTGCCCACACGATCCATAATATTCTGAAACCTTGTCATTTGCTCTCATATCCATACAGTTAACGCTTACTGAGCATTTCCGATGTTCCAGGCTCATTAAGCCAGTCTCCATATATGTTAATTCAGTGATTTAATCCTCACTTTTTCTACGTCAAAGACAATCAAAGCTCAGATAGGTTAGGTTACTTGCCCAAGGACACACAGCATGCATGTGGTAAAACCAGACCCTGTGGTGCCTCCTGCCCCAGAGCTGGCTGTTTTTACATTCACCCTGACCTCCTGGTGGGTCTCAATCATCATCTAGATTAATGTTTTTTTAGTGAAAAAATGCATTCCAAATTCCATTTGTAATGCCAAGAGCACATCTCTCAGTCCTGGCAGCTGAAAACCCCCTTGCCCTTCTAATTTCCTGTTTATCTCCAAAATAGCCACGGGGGGCGGGGGGTGGGAAAGAGAATGAGAACCTTTGTTGTGTTGGGCTGGCCCGGCATGAACCTCATCCTGTCATTTTCCAGACAGCTTGTGTCCAGCACCTGCCTTTCGGCTTCACTGGCTCCCCACTCCTGTCAGGCAGCAGAGCTGGAGATGCTCATTACATTTCAGCTGCTTGTACCACCTGTTTATGGCTCAACCACTGACACAGGCTTGATAAAAGGGCTTGGCGATTATTCCAATCCCAGCTTGGACCAGAATTTAGCTTTGTAAACATTCTATAAAACCTGGCTTTAAAAGGAACATAGTGAAATTTCAGACACCCCCGGGCCCCCTCCAGTTGGCATCTGGCCAGGGGGAAGACCCTCATAGCCTTCTCTTACCTCACCTACTTCGCTTACCCTCATGTCTGCTTCTAGACACGTCCTCTTCCCATCGGGTTAATCTCTTCTTTCCTCGATGCTCCTGAAAGTGTTGAGAACCTTGTAAAATCTGTCAAGCTGTCTCTGTGCCTCCAGTTGGCCTGCATCTCGCCCAGTGTGCTGTCATGGTTTCTTATTTTAAAAAGTCTTCCAGCCAGGTTTCGTAGTTTCCCTTGATAGCAAGTTCCAGCCCACCTTTCTTCCTGAAAAGCAAGCACTCATTTCTCCTTCCTTGCTAGTAACTACCTTGCTATGTGTCTTTTGCTGCTATCGGGAAGATCTTAGACTATCCTTCTTGCTTTGGGCTATTATTAATATTACATGGAGTATTCAGAATTTAGTTGATGGAATATTTGGGTGTGGCTTTCCTCCCCTTTTCCTTCCGTTTCTGGATTTCCCCAAGATGTCACTGATCTTTGGTGCTCCCCCTCGAGGGGAAAAAGAAGTCAGGGAGAAGGCAGAGCACAATGTCTCGGCCGAGGGAAGTTGTTGCACCTGATTGGCCAAGAAGAGTTGGCTCCTTCCTCCATGGACTCTCCAAGAGGTACCACTCCATCTTCTGTGGACTCTCCAGGAGGAGCTGTATCCTTCCTCTGTAGATTTCCGAGAGAAGCTGCTTCCTTGCTTCGTGGTCTCTCCAAGCAGAGCTGCTTCCTTCCTCTGGGGACAAGAGGCACTGCTCCTTCCTCCGTGGACTCTCTGAGGGGAGTAGCTTCCTTCCTTCGTGGCCTCTCCAAGAGGCGCTGCTCCTTCCTCTGTGGCCTCTCCAGGAGGAGCTTCTTCCTTCCTCCTCAGCCTCTTCCGTTTTCTTCTCTTATTTCCACAGACAATTGAGAATTGGTTTTCTAAAGTGCAACTGAAATGAACAACAGAATAGAATAACATTCTCAACGTCATCGGCACTTAAAATATGTGCAATCTAAAGAATGCTTGGCTAAGAAATTATCCAAGATTTTCAGGAAAGAATGATTTAAAATGATCGCAAACGTAAGTGAAAAGTGTTCCCTTTGGGAGATGAACATCCATGGTCTCCAAAGACTTCCATTGCCATTAGTTGATTAATTAATTCATTAACACCTCGTAGAGCACAGGATATTGACTCCATATGGCACTGAGCAGGCAGTTTGGTTTCTTTTGAAAGTTTCTCTTATACGAAAGCACAGAAATAGTAAATAATTAAGCTCTATGCTGCCTTGTTGTGATCTTTTATTGATCAAGGCAGAGATTTGAGAGCAGGAAGGCTTCGGGCACTCACTCTAACCTGACTCTATTTGCCCCATGATGACACGTTACTGTGAGACGCTTGTTCTTATTATAAAGCCTTTAAGGAAGAAAATAAGCCCACAACATGTTTATGGCTCTTGTTACTTCAGTCCGAGTTTAATCGCCCCAGTCTTGAAGACTGAGCATTTTCTGGTGGACTCCCACGGGGCCGAGGGTAGTGATATGACGAGTACACTGCTTGCTCCCTTCTGAGCCCTGGCTTCATTAAGCTGGTTCTTAATGCTTTTTCCCTTCCTAATAAAGCTATTAAGACAATGACTTATGATTGCCCTGCTCAGTGAGACCTTCAGGGAATGAAGGTGGGACATGAGGAAAATGCCTTGAGCATGGATCAATCTCAGTGTGGTCCGAGCCTTTCTGTGAGGTGAGATTTTTACCGTTTCCCTCTCAGGACCCAGTGTTGCTCCCAGCTCCCACCCCTGCTCACCATCCTGTCTATAACCTGGTGGATCTAGGTGGGAAGGAGAGCCATGAGATGTTAGCAAGAGCTGTCCTAGTGTCCCCAACCTTTCCCCTCCTCTCATCCTGCTCCATCCATCTCCCTTTAACCCATGAATTCTTTCAGCAGGCACCCTCTTTCTCTTCTCCACAAAACTTCCTGAAGGAATGGTTGACACCTGCCCTCTCTACATCCCCACCTCCCAGGAATCTCCCAATCTGGGATTTCAGGCCTCCCTTGTGGCTGCCTCTTTGTGACAGAGCTCGTCTCACTGAGGGTTCATCTAATGGACGCTCATGTGATGTATCTTCTGCTGGGAGGCTTCAGAAATTGCGCACGACTCCCTCTTCAACAGCTCCTCCTTTGGTTTTTTGGCATCTCTAGGGACAATCATGGGAATGCCGTGTTCATTTTCCCTCTGAGAAAGGACTGACTGTCTCTCTAACCGAGGCTTCTTTGGGATTCCCTTCGCCTTTGGGCCTTGGTCTTGTGTTTCTCACGTGGTCCCATCCAATGATGGTACAAGGCAGTGGTGGAAGGGCCCAGTCATTTCTCTGCAGTAGGAGTCTTTGCCCTGGAGCTCCTTGTTGGGTGGTGGAGGCTTTGTCAGACCTGCATCGTGGTGGACCACTATTCCTGCTCAATCCTCCTTTCTTTTTCTTCTCGCGGGTGTTGCTCCCCAGAAAGCCTTTTGCTCTCCTAATTCTGCCTCAGTGTCTATTTCCTGTAAGACCTAAACGACACCTTCCTTGTCATCATTTATTGCTGTTACTTTTTGCTGGCATCTTAAATGATGGCGTTCCAAAGGCATTGGTCTAGGGGTTCTTTTCTCTTCAACATTCCTTTTGTTCTTAGGCCATCACCTTCTTCTCCTCCATGTCATTAACTGTCTGCAACACTGGTGACTTACAAATCTCTTTCTCAGTCATATATCTCCCCAGTCTTCAAGTCTGTGTTTCTCTGCTTTACTGATATCTCCATCTGGATGTCTTGGAAGCACTTCAAACTTAACGTGTGCAAAACAGAACTCATCAACCCTAAGACCTTATCCTCTGACCAAAAAATAGTCCTCCCGTATTTTCTGCTAAGGGGATGGTGGATAACTGTGGGCTAATTCTCTGAGCCAGAAACCTTGGTCCTGTTCTTGGCTCCTCTGTTGCCCGGCCACCCATAGTCAATCCCCGGATCCCCTGAGATCTCTTATATGACAGCTGTCTCCGTGGTCTGCTGGGGCTGTCTTTTCTCTAGTCTGGATCATGGAAGCTTCCTTCTGACTAGTCTTTCTGTCTTTCCATCCCCTTCAGTCTATCCTTGAACCCGTTGTCAGAGTGATTTTAAAATACAAATGTGGCATCTTTCCCCTGACCAACCTCTTCTAATAGCTTCTCAAGACAAATGCAAACATTTCAAGGTGGTTTTGGGAAGTGGCTCTCAAAAGTGTGGTCCCTGGACCATCAGCACCAGCATCATGCCTGAATTTGTCAGAAATGCAAGTTTTTAGACCCCACCCCACACCGACTCAATGAGAAGCTTTGGGGGTGAGGTCCAGCAATTTGTTGAACAGACTCTTCAGGTGATGCCTGCTAAAGGGTGCCGTGGCTTAGGAAATCATCCACATCTCTAGCTCCAGCTTTGTCCTCCAGTCCTCCCCTGATCTCCTGCTCCAACCACACTGAGTAACTAGCCTGCTTAACACAAGT